TTCTCCCCGCGCGCCGAGCCGCGCGCACGGGGTCCCCCAGCGCCCGCTGGCGCCCGGCCGCGGTGCGCACGTCCTTTCGGATGCGAACACCCGGGTCCCTGGCGTCTGACGCCGCCGGGAGGCCGGCGAGGCCCCAGGTGAGTGTGCCCGCCTGCTCGGGGCCGGGGAGGGCGCCGCCGGGCGGGGGCGCGCCCTGGCCGTGCGCCTTTGGAAGCGGGACTGATCCGGGAGCGGAGAGCGGGCGGGGGGCGGGGGTCCGCGCGGAGTTTCCCGCGGCGTCCCCAAGTTACTGCGTGTCGCCGTGAGACGTGGCTCTGCAAGGCAGGACAGGCGTGTGGACGGAGCTGGGGGCGCTCGGCCGGAAAGCCGGCGCTGACAGACACACAGGTGCGACGCGAGAAGTAGTTCAGGGCGGGAGCAAATCCGGGCACCCTCCAGATGTCGCGGTGAGCACCGGCAGCCTGGACCGCGCTCCTCCAAGAGGGACACGAGCGGCCCCCTCCCCTGACCTGGGACCGGCGGGGGCACAACTCCGCGCAGGCTGTGCCGCCCGGTTTTGCAGAGGGCTGAGGCTGGAAGGGGTGATGTGCCGGTGAGAGCAGGCGTCCTTTGAACCGTCCTCGCCAGATACCTTGTACCTTTCGTGAAGGTGGAACTCACCTAAGAGTGCTTTGTCCTGTAATCAGTGTTCTGCTGCTCTGGTGCATCTGCGTCCGGCTTCCCCTCCGCTGTCTGTGCCCTGGGTGTGCGCTGGGAAGTGGGCGCCCTGCGTCTCTGAATGGATGGTGGACTTCTTCGTGGGTGCACACGGTACACGGCTAGTGGCTGGTATTCAACCTTCCAGTGTGGATTAAGGAAGAAAAAAAAAAAGACCTATTATTCTGTACCGCTTCCCGTTTTAGATTCTTAGAAGTCATAGTTCAGGTGAGTAAAGGTTGGCAGTGAGTTCACCCAGCGCTGGGCAGATGGCAGACTGTTGAGAAACCATCAAGGCTTGGGGTCTCAGGGTTTTGGAGAGTAGCAATTTGAACTATGGATGTAACTTAAAACAGTTTTTGCTTTTCGAGAAATATCTAGTCTTCACTAACTCATTTATTAAGTGAAAAAACCTTTAAGTAAAGCTTGCCCTGTATAATTTCTGTAATCATTCAGGCGTTCAGATCATTTTTCATATAGGAGTACCTAAACAGAACTTTATACGACAAAAAATTAGAAAAATGTGACATGTCAATATATGGCCCTTGCAAAACGACAAGGACATATTTTAAAAATCAGATTAACAGCACAAAAACCTGTTAAAGAGTTTAGTAGCAGTAGCAACCTTTTAAAAAAAGGAACGTTTGAATAGATACACTGCCAGCTACATGTAAATAGTTTTGAGTGTCTTTATAATGACACACTGTTAGGGAGAAAATAGCTAAGGAAAAAAGTAATTGCATTTGAAGCTTTCAGTAACTCACCAAACGTTATTTTTTCCCTAAAGAACTAGTTAGACTTTGGTTTACCTAAGCTTTTTTCTTGTTACTACATTGTAAAGTGGAAATGCATTAAGAATCCTTTACTTTAAGAGCTATTGGGAACTGTGGGAATTACAATGCAAAAGAACTGAGTCAGGTAGTCGAACTGGCAACTTTGTGAAAGTCTTGCTTATATGTAAGTGTTTAATATGGAGTGAGATGGCAGAAGCAATTAGGTAACATCCGATGTTAATAGTCTTATCTGGGAAAGTAAGCTGAAAATCTGTATGTGGAAGAAAAATAAAGGAAACAATATTCAGTAGTGCAGACCATCACCCTGCTAAAAGCTATTAAGGTTTGCAGCTTTAATAAAAGAGTATTGTGCATTTACAACGTGAGATATTATTGTAATTAAGGGCTGCAATAGGTCATTAGAATTGTGTTAACAATCAGCTGACAGACTCACAACACTTCTTAAGTCCACTTTTATTGATTTAATAGCACAGAGCTTTCCCTTTTCTTATAAAAGGGTGATTGTAAAGTATCTATATTACAGCAATTTACCCTTGAATTGACTCTAGGTTTTAGTGTCCAATGAAGAAGAGAGGATGGAGAGCACACTGAGATGGCTACCGTTCAGCCTTTCTTGGTCAAAAAAATCAGATGACTGTCTCTCCTCAGGCATGATTTCGTTGCTGGTCTCTCTATTATTCAACACTTTGTGTTTTGTTGTTGTTACTTTTTTTTTTTTAAATGACAAAGCTGATATAAACTTCTCAACATATCTACTGATATGGGGAAGTATATACATTTTTGTGTTGCCAAATACTTTGTCAAATCTTTCAGGAATTCTTTATAAAGTACTAAACTCATACATTGTTCTCTGCTGTGAAAATTTATTGCTGAGTGATTCCAATCTTCCTGGATTTTATAAGGTTTTACATTTATTGCTTTAATAGCTTGTATCACATCTCAGTTCTCCCTCACACACACATGCAAAAATGTCTCTTACTTGATTGGAAGGCTTCAAAGCCTTAGCTTAAATTGGGAGCTTCAGGAACTTCTAAAATAACTAACATGCATTAGTTGATTGCAAAGGGACTGAGATGGAAGCTTTTTCTTCCCTGGATGAAGGAATCAGATGCTACGTGGTGGGGTGATGAAGGGGAGCTGAGGACAAGGAACGAAGACATGTGATCAGAGTCTTGTGTGTGACCATCTCCCCAGCCTCTGACAAGCCAAGCAGATCTAGCTGTAACCAGCAATACACGAGTGCCTCCTCTGGGGATTTGCTGGTTCTGCAGAAAGATACCCCTGCAAACACTCCCCTCTTGTCATTCTACAAGTCTCCTCACAGATAAAATTACCAGTGCAAATGAATATGCAGACATCTGTCCATATATTCATTTCAGATTATGGTATAGGTTTTTAGTCTGATATAATTTCTTTTCTGCTATTTTGCAAAGTGTTTGTTGAAGCATGATGACTTTTATTGAAGTCACATAAATCACACCTAGCACAAGGTAAATACAAGGGTAAATTTAAAAATTAAAATTGATACAGCTAAAATTCCTTGTAAGAAATAAAGTAGAAAGAAAGAAAGCCCTTTAAACATAATTTTGTCATTTTGTTGTAACACAAATCATTCAGAAGGTCTGTGTTTTGCTACTTTGTTTACTTTTTAAATTTACATAGGCTACTTCTAGTTAATTATAAATTACTGTTTCCTCCCCTTTTAAATTATGTTCACCCAAGCAGAGGTTATGCCTAGTTGAAATTGACTCTGAAATTCACTTTGAGAAGTTTTCTTTCCATGTTTGATAACCAGATGTACACTACAGGCAATGTGATTCATTTCCAGGGTCCCTGCCTGCATATTTAGGCCAGTTAACAGTAGGAGGTTGTGGTCTGTGGTTGTAATGTTATCAGGCCCAGGGAGCTAATGGATTTGATCACAGTTTTTTTTACGTGAGAAGTCACATATCACAGAGAATCCCTAGGCTCACTAATTAAAATGTAAAAAATTATACCTTTTAAGTACAAGAGAGAGGGCTCTTTCATCAGTATTAAGATTGTTGAATGTAATGTTAAACTTTCAATGGTATCCAGATGAACCAAATTAATGGTAGTATATTGCTATACCAGAAGCTGAAGATGGCAAAATTAAATCTAGAATGATTATAATGGGAATACAGGCAGCAGTGATCTCAAAATATAGAACTTATAGCACAAACAAAAAGGTACAACTTTTATGATAGTTATTTTACCAAACAAAATGGCCCTATGTGTATACTTTTATATCCTAAGATAGTTTCCTGAGTTGGGTACCCTACTTCTAAAATATTCAATGGACTGTTGTTCAAATTTCAGTGGAAATAGTTAACTACTTAGTGTCAGAATGTCGTAGGAAGTTATTTTTGGATTCCAAGATTGTTTAGGAGAAAGACAACACTTTTAAATTTGGATACTGCTCACTCTTCATTTTTTGTAGCAGAAACATAAAATCCTAGATAATAGATAACCCCACCCTTTTCGTCTTACTCTGCACTCTCTGCCCTTCTGAGTGTTAATTATGATGATTTCTTACTTTGAAAATTAAAACTCATGGTCAGATAAAAATTTGAGTATAACCAAATTTGCTTTTCTTAAATTCCCCAAATCATACATTATAAAATGACTTATCACCAGAATGAGCAATTTTTAACAAACACTTAAAAATACCCAATTCCATCAGTAGTAGCTGCATGACCCTGGGCATTTCAGTGGGATTCTATAGATTTCAATTTTGTTCTTAGTAAAGAAAGGAAGGACTGCATTGTTTTTTCTAACGTCTGTTCCAGTTCACATGTGTTATTCATCTGTGGTTCCATCACATCAGGAATCTTCAAACATAAGGGGCAGCAGAGTTTGAGGATTTCTTTGTGTTTTTCCTCTAACATGAGCCCTCATGAGAACCAATCTTTTATATTCTTCATTATTGAAGTGACTTCCTCTTTATCTCATAGACACTATCCTTAATCACGTGGCTTATAATGTTGTGTTTAGAAATAAAGTGTGGCTTCGACTTTGAAAACAGTTGCTGTTCTAGACTACTTTCTCTCTAGTGTTGTATTCTGACACCTGCTCTGTCATGAATGGGAGGGGATTAGACTATATCGTATTCGCCTTTGGTATTCCCCAAAATGTATTATGTGATTCTATAATTAAAATAGCAAAGGCAGCAATTAATAAGTACTGTTGTTTAGGCAAAGCAGACTGCTCTAACTTTGTGGACAGAGATAAATCACAAGGAAGACCTCCATGGTAACAGGTGGTGGCTGTCCTGGGAAGCAAGAACACAATGAAAGTCTTTAAAGAAGACATAAGATAAATCAAGAGACAGTCTCTTCATTGAATTTAAATAAAGTCAATAAATACCCAAAAAGAAACAGACTTCTTTTCCCAGACTGTACAAAAGAACTGGTAACTGGCAGGTTGCTCTTAAAGCAGTGGTGATGTTTTGCATGGTGCCCCCTAACCACTGCTGAGGAATCGAGTTATTTCCACTTTTAAACACGTGTATTATTCACCCTTCATAAGGATTCATTAAAAATATGCTTACCGCCAAAACGTAGTTCAACTTTAAAGCAGTCATGGAAATCACAGTTTCTTCCCAATAGGCCAACAACAAATATTTCCCC